CTACTTTTATGTCATAAAGCAATTTGTTACGTAAACATTTATGTAATACAGCAATTTATTTTAGAATAAAACAAGTGCAGATTGTGGCATTACCTGAATTTTATATACCAGTGTGAGCAACTCCCACACTAAGGCACTGCAGAGAATGATGCTTCATGTTTCTTTGTCTCATACAGGAGTCAGCACATCTGCGCTGCTCTGGTGATGCACAGCATTTCCAAGCAATGGAGGCAAAAAATGAGCTAAGAAGCATTTCAGAGATCCAGCCAGCAGATGACAGCAGTTTCCTTTCAAAAACAAGCAACATTCCTTGAACACTAGGATCCTCCCAGCGCTCCTACTGTTCCGTCCTTTGTTTAATATAAACAAGGGACCTCTTCATTCACCTGGATTTTGAGAACTATGTGGAGCAAACCCAATGTCCACTACACAGTCTAAGGTTCCTGAAAAATGAAGTACTGTAGTTGAGTATACCGTATGTAAAGGTGTCTCTGTTTCTGCATCTAAACATATTCATACTTGTTATTTTGTGAAATCAAATGCTTTTGTTGATGCATATCTATAATTGTAAAACTGCAAAGCTAAGAAAAATGGATTACACAACAGTATTTTAGGATATAACTCTTACTAGACTTTTAGGCAAGATTTAAGATAATTTTACATATTGTAAGGGAAGACCCAACTGTGCCATTAATCATGACAATAATCCTAGAATTGCATTTTCAAAATGAGCTTTATGTATATTGTTATACCCTGTTGCAATATTCTAAATACCCTTTTTAGGAAACGTTCGCATAATGTACACAGAGATAGTGAATTTCTTGTGACACAATACAGGTAGGAAACTGGATCACACAGATTGCCCTTATTGTCATTGAAATCCCTTACCCTTTTTCCCTTAGAAGATGACATCATTGCTACTGCATTTTTTCAGCAAACAGACGTGGAAACAGACCCCCAGAATTAAAACCCCGCTGGCAGGTTGCGGTGATATCTTTGCATTCCTCTATCCTAGCTGCAGTAGCCTCTGAACCCCTCCATAATCCCGTCTTCCTCCAAATGAATCATATTTTCCTTCCATTTTCCTATTTTTACAGCTGGAGAGAACCTGATCTGTTGAAGCGTTTTTCTCTTCAGCTACCGAGAAAGCCAAGAAAACTGTGAGCTCACACACACACACTCACACTAATGTACCCAGACACAGACTCACACTCACATCCTGAAATCTGGGCAGGTTGGAGATTAATCTAGTTTAGATTGCCTGCTCAAAAGCTTCAGCAGCTCAGGAAGGGGCTTCCAAAGAAGCTGGCTGTGCCTGTCTGTGGGCTCACAATGCTGGAGAAGCAATGATACAAAAAACACTTATTCAAACATGAAATCACTGATAAATCACGCAGAATATCTTCAGAAAGCGTCTGTCCTGAGGACATGGGAAAGGCTGTTAAATGAGTCGGGAGGCTCCTTTTGGGGGTTTAGGAAAGCAAAACAATGTCGCGCCATCAGGTGTGCTGAAGCTTCAGAATAAACAAACTGCTCTTGACAGAGACAAAATCACATTGTGATTTTTTTCTCATACCTGCCATTCCACAGACCCATTTTATTTTTTAGTTTTGAAAAAAATGCTGCAGCAGACAGACAATAAAAGACCCTCCAAAACATTGCATCTCCTGTTTCTCCATTATTATTTTTTTGTCACTTGAACGGTGTGTGACATAAGGCAGAGTCACTCATGCAAGTAAATTAAATCTAAGGCTCAACAATCATTATTAACTACTGTACATACCATAATTGTATATACTGTAGTACCTCATTGTCCCTTTTTAGTGCTCCATGAGTTTTAAGGATTGAGAGAAGCACATAAGGCAGACCATAACAAAGAACTCCGGATTAAGGGAAAAAGCAATCCACATATACTATTCAATGCAGTTAATGCCATTTCTGCAGCTAGATATAGTCTCCGGGCTTCCATTTCTCATTGAATAAAGGAAAATCCAAGCCTTCGTTCTTGAAGAGACTGGTGCATGGTGCTGGGGGAGGAAGAGTGGGGGTCGAGGAGTGTGCTGTGGGGGTGAGGTGCTCAAGAGAACTGTTGCCACCTATCAATCCACCCCAGCATCACTCGACACCACTGAGCGCAGCAGAGGAAATCGGAGGACGAGCGAATGAATGAGGTGAACTTTAGAAATCACTTTGGCAAAGCTGAGCGCGTAAAGAATTAAACAGATCCTTCCACTTCAAGCCAAACGTGCTTGTGCCAAACAAGTTGCCTCTGTTGCAGTAAATTCAGGAAGGTACGATTTTGCTTGCATAGTATTTTTGGATCTAAAGGCTTACGAAACCTCCATAAGGCATGCTTGAAAGATTGATTCATGCATGGATTCAAATCTAGATGTTCCAAGGAGAAATAAAAAACTCTGCAAATCACATTTGTAGAATTGTCCCTACTTACATACAATTCTTAAGTGTTTGGATAGGTTTTACAAAATCGTTATCCAATTATTGTAGCACATTAAATAAATAATATATATAATAATTGAACAGGCACATATTTAAAAAAGACATGTTGCTGGTGAAATCTAGGGTGCCTTTACACCATTAAGATTGCAAACGTCTGGTGTGTGGTTATGAATAAACCATATGCAAAACTACTGAAGTCCGAAGACCTGTCGAACTTTATTAGCAGATCAAAGCACAGGGACAAACCAGGTTCTGTAACACCTCAACAGCAATTACAATTAGTCGATCATGCACTCGTTATCCAGATTCTGTCAATGTTCATTTGGATGATTACAGAAACATGAAAAGATAGAAAAATATCTGAGTGAATTTTGTCCAAAACCACAACATCAGCTGTTATCAGTTTTCATCTTGCTTGCTTTGTCTTATGTAAAATTTAAATCAGAAATGTGCAGCATGAATTAAGGATTGCGTCATGTTAGTGTATTAAAAGGGCTTTTTTTTTCCCTGTGTAAGTTCTGGATCCAATAACTGGCGCTGGCTAAGGAACAATACCTCAGTAAGAGTTTATTATTGAATTTGAGAGGGTATAGATGTCCAGACAATGGCATGTATTCAATGTACTTGGGCATGATGCTAATCATCCCTTTTTAGCACAAATATACAGGGAAGAAAATAAAATGCAAATGTATGGAGCAATTTTTGAAACTTCAGAAAAGCAGCCAGAAATGCCAGCAATAAAAATATAACTAGCAGCAAAAGTATGGTACAGTTTAGTAAATCCCTCATATGTCTGTTTTATGAATTGCTACTCCACTCTCTTCCCTGTATTGCTTTATTGCAGGACTGTGAAGTGGGTTCACAGAGAGCTAATGCGGTTAAACGTACAGAGAAGTAAATTAGTCCTCTACTACCTCACAAGGATAGTGTGCTACACAGTAAAGGCAGCAATGTGCTTTAACAAAATGTGTTGTGATACTTCAGAGGCATTAAATTTATGCTTTAGAAACTGCTGTTAGTTTGATCTCTTACTGCTGGTATTTCTGTGTGCTCCTTTACAGTTTTCAAAGCCAAATTTCCAACTGATAAAAAGGAGCACTGCATACAGTAAAGAAGGATAAAAAGGTTTCGTTTTTATGGTGTGGTAATCCTTGAAACCGGTCCAGAGGAGAAAAAAAAATACATAGGGAACTGCCATGTCCTTTAAATAATTTTTCTTGAGGTAAAAGTTTCAGTACGTGCAACTTGTTCTTGGACATCAATTTAAATATTTTTTTCGTTCCCCACTCGAAGAGACGAGGTAATTAAAGTTAAAAAGGCCCTGAATGATTCAAGGGCTAACCCAGCGGTCTGGCACTAGAATATAAAACCTATGTTTCTGGATGTGCTCTGATCCCCCTGTGTTTTGAAAGGGTACTCAAAGGTGCCTTACAAGACGCACAATTTGAAGACAGACTCAATAGTTTGCTGGTTAAGAGTTTATATCTTTAGGAAGCAAAAGTATTTAAAGGCCAGGAAATATTATTTTTAACAAGTGCCCAAAGAAAACGTGTCTTAGTATCCACAGGTTGCTCTCTGCAAAACCAAGCTGATCAGAAGTAACTGCTTTCATCCATGTTGTGTTAATTTGTATAAATTTAATGGCATTCACAGAAACTCTGAGTTGCACAATAAAAATTTGCAGGTCAACTGGTTTCCGGGTTCGCATTACGTGTGCCGATCTGATGATGCAATCTGCGCAATCCTTCAGCTGATGTTCCATTGTAAAACCCTTGGTTAGAGTTTGAACACTGAGGAAAGAAGCCAAAAAAAGGGTTTTGCCGGCCTGGAAAGTATGCGACTCATCATCCTGGCGTGTGTGAGCATATTTCATTGACTCCGTTACAGTTAGGGGCACTAAAGCCATTTATCAACTATGTACTAAAATAATTGTGTTCTTGGCAGGAGCCCCAGCTATTTAAGATCTCTGAACCCCATATAATTGTTAATGCATCTCGTTAATCAGGAACATTTTCACAATCTGGAACAAAGCTTTACTGTATTGGAGTCCACAGGAATTTACAGCTTTTGTGGTAGCCTTCAGTGCCCCAGACCCCAGCAGATAGCCATGAATTAAGACAACATTCACAAAACAATAAAAGAAAAAGAAACAGTGAGGTGATTTTTTTTCAGCATGTTCCCCAAAAATACAGCTTCACAAATAAGTGGGAAACTGTATCTTACCTTTTACCTCTAAATATCTAAGGGAAAGTTGTATGACATTTGTTTCTTTTTCACTAGGTGTCTTGTTCCTGTTAAATGGATACGAAATGTATGTTGGGCAATGACAAATGATTACCTTGTTATGGATGGAAGGACAGAAAGTACTCTGCTGTTACTGCAGTACTTCCTTTCCCTCAGCTGTCCTCTCCTCTGTCTTAATCCTTCCTGATCTCTCTGCCGCCTTCAACACTGTACTATTCTTCTATTTTGTCAACACTTGCTCTTTTTTGGCACTGCTCTCACCTTGTTCTATTCCTACCTCATTAATCACGCATAGTAGGTCCCTCGGCAAGGCTAAATCTCTGCTCCTTACTCTCTCCCCACTGGTGTTCCCCAGGGCTCTGTCACGGTCCCTCTTCTGTTCTCTTACTACACTTGCTTCCTGAGTTCTCTCATTTCATATTATTTTTATACTTGTGATACTTAAGTCTTCCCTTCTTTTCTTTCTACACATACCGTACTTATATCCGCGAAGATACAATATCTCTGATTGTCCCATAGCTCCTCATAGATATGCACCCATTATTAACTTTAAACTCTCTTAAAATTTTGATCTCCTGTTTTCCTTTCCTCTTCTTCCTCCTCTGTGAACCACTCCATCTCCTTTCTCCTCCACTACCAGGAAAGTTTGGTTTCACTTTTGACCCCCCTTCTCCTATGTACTCTCCTCAACTCGACTGTAGTACAGGTAACTCATTCTTGGCCCACCTTTCTGTCAGCACTGTCTGTCCACTCCAACTCATTGACTCTATGGTCTCATGATACTCAATCCCCCTGCTTGCTTCTGATTGCTGTATTGCCTGTAAGCAAAGAAATCAAATTCCTCTTCTACCAGACTTTCTGTGCAGCTTCTCCATTCTTCCACTTCTACTGCTCCTAACGGTGGAATGAACTGCCCACAGAAGTCAGAACAGCTCAGTCCCTGACCTTTTCAATACCTGTTCAAGACTCATTGGTTTGACCAGCAAAAGTTCTTAACTACAGTACACTATATTTTACACTATATCGTACACAACGTATTAATTCCCCAAAAAGATGATATAAATTACGAATTGCACTTCACTGACAACATGGGACACATACCAACAGGAAGGTTTCATTATTGCTGTATATACACACTCTCTGTATAGTTTTTAGTTCTTTGTCTTTCATTTTGTTTGCAAAGCATTTGCATTATTTTATTTGCATTATTCTAGGAAACATTTGCATTATTTATCTAGTTTGAGCCAACCTTATTGTCTTTTTATTAATTTCTTTCATTTTTACCTTTGAAGTACATATACAATTACCCTTGTACTTATATACACTGTATTTTTTGTCACTGTATTAAAAGGGTAGCTGCTTAGCAATCTATCATACGTATCAAATGAGTTCATTGACTACCTCAGTAAGCAACATTGTCTGATATTTGTAAGTTATGCTTATAGCTTACTGTACATATGTAGTATGATGCGATCAATTTCACTTAGTGTAGGAATGGGATCTTATTAGATCTGATCAACATACTAATAAACATTGCAGCAAACACTCCCTCAATATTTTTTTTAGCTTGACCTGACTTTTTTAAATTCAACTCAGAGATTTGTGAACATACCTTCCCTTTTTTAGACACATCTAACATTCTACAAGTATGTGAAACTTCAAAATTCACTTCAGAAGACTTCTGAGCCGGCTTTGAAGAGGAACACCACGTGTCAGTCATTTGCTGACTCATCAATTGCATAGCGATAAGTGTCCAGAGGACCCTTTCTGAAAGCTTTCAAAGAAGCTGGCGTCAATCTTTCCAAGGTAGGGTTTCAATATCACTCAATCTCTGCTCAAGGCAGACAGGGGTCATTCCTCAGGCAGCAGTGATTTGGTCAGGTCTATCCATGTGCCTTGCAAGCAGG